AGCGTTGGACAGAGTTGAGAAAAAAAAGAAGTGAGAGAAAGAGAGAGAGAGAAATTTCTCTTTCTTCGTGTGATTCTTTGATTAGAGAGTGATCTTCTCTTTGTAATCTTCTCTTTTGTGATTAGTGAAGTTCTATGTTGTTCTCGCCCGTGGACGTAGGTCATACTGACCGAACCACATTAAATCCTTATGTGTTGTTCTCTTTCTCTTCATTGTATTTATTTAGTGTTGTTATTCTCTACTCTTGTATAGACATTTTCTGTGTCTGTCAAGACACTCAAGAGTCAAGACTAAGCATGGGGAGGAATACATCTATAGGCATGCGTATCCATAACCTTTTGTAAGGGACCTCAGGGTAAATTTTCACAAATCCCACCCGAACTTTGGGTATTTTTGTTCAAAACCCCCTAATTTTTATAAATTAGAGAAATCCCTCCTAAAGTTTCAATATTCTACTAAACCTCTTCAAATAACAACAACAACAAAAACAAAGTCTTCATTCCTAATGTTTGGGGTCAGCTACGTGAATCATATTTTTTCATTACATTCTTATGTGGGTTGTCTACTCCGTTAAGTTAACCATTATCATACTCTTTTTAATTGCTTCTAACTAAGTTCTTTTAGGTCACCCTCTAGATTTATTTACCTCATTAATCATAATATTATCACTTTTCTTAATAGGTGCACTAAGAGGTCTTCGTTGTACATGACCAAACGACTTTAGTCGATACTTTCTCATTTTATCGTTAATAGAAGCAACATCTAAGTTATTATGAAGGCACTCATTTCTTATCCTATCTTTAAAGCATAGTTTGGTATGGGGGTATGAAGAGGGAAGCGAAGAAAAAACACATCAATTTGTAGTTTATTTTCTCTCTTCTTGAATCCCTCCAATTTAGAGGGATTCTTCTCTCTCCTCATTTTTAGTTCATTTTATGTTGTCTCCTACTCTACCTCACTTCCCCTCACTTTACCTTCCTTCTAAAAAAACTACCAAAGGCACTTTGGATTTTTGTCCCTCCCTTTACTTTTACATTCCCTTTTATCAAACTAAGCCTAAGTTTATACCCACAAGATCATCGTAAGGTTCTAAACTTATTTTTTACACATGTTATTGATGTATGACGCTTAACAGACAATTTCATGGAGGATTTGGACAATCACGAGCTACGTTACCTGGACTCAGGTATGAGTATCCAATACGGGTGCGGATCCGAGTGTCCGATACGAAATTTCTGAAAATTTTGGATAAGGGGACACTATCCTAAATTTCGACACAGGTACAGGGATACACTTTTAATAATAGTTTAATTTATTTAATGAAGTACAACTAATTAAATTCCATTCCTCTATCCCGTATACACTTTTACTTGCTTCATATATTTATTGTAAAACCCAAACCCAAACAAAAAAATCCAAACCCAAAAATACAAAGCCAAAGCCCAAACCCAAACCCAAACCCAAACCTAAACCCAAACCCAAAACCCAAAACCAAAACCAAAAACCTAAAACCCAAACTAAAGTAAACTATGTAACCCTAATTCTCACTCACCCGACGCCGCCACGAAATTTCTATCGACCCGTTCTGTTCCTCGTCTAAGCTCGAACTCATCAAAGCCTCTCGGATCCTCATCTTCGATCTCACCTTCAATCTCCGAGCTGGTCTTCAACCTCTGTCGAACAGTCGAAGCTTCGTCTTCAACCTCCGAGCTTCATCTTTAACCTCCGTCCTGTTCCTCGTCGAAGCTTGAACTCGTCGAAAAGCCACATCCGCCTTCTCCATCGACGATGAGGAGCCATCTCCTCCCCCTCCTTCGTCGACGACGAGCAGCCGCAGCCCCACCCGCCTCCTCCTTCGTCGAATCTCCTCCCCCTCCTTCGTCGACGACGAGCAGCCACAACCCCGTCGTATCCGAGTGCCAACCATCGTATCCGACCCGTATTTCGTACCCGGATCGGTGTCGGGTCGTATCAACGTCGGTACGACGGTCCAACCGTCGTGTCCGAGTAACGTAGATCACGAGCTAAATCCAGATTTATACGTATTATTGACTTTCGCAAAAAAAAAACAATCATATCTTCCAACCCAGAAGGTGGATTCTGACATAATATATATGTAAATTACCTATCTCGACGAGACAGAGCCAACTAGATTATCAGATTTTTAAAATCTCATCAGTCATACCCAGTTTTGACTAAAATCCGAAAATAATCAGTTTTAAGTTTATTTTTAGGAATAAAGTTGGAGTCTATTTAGATTAGAAAATAAATTCAATATTAGAGTCAAATTAAATTAGGAAACAAATTCAATTTTAATTCATGATTTGTTTCCTCTATTATAGGGAGTTTTTTAGGATAGAATTTGATACTTTTTATTTCTTATAATTCTAGTATTACTAGGAGTCTTATTTATTTTTCTATTTAAGAAGAGTAATGTAACCCTAAAAAATAATATCATTTTATCAATAAAATTTCTCTCTTAATATTTTCTTTGTGGATTCGAAATTCTTCGTGGATTCGGAGATCGTTCTTTGTGGATTCAAAGAACACCTTTGGTGGATTCCGAGGTTTTTACTTCTGCACTGCGTTAACTAGTATCAGAGCTAGGTTCCTCCAATCCGATGGCAGACGATGAAGCCCTTTTTTTCTCATACTGAGTTCGATGAGCTGAAGACCGATGTTAATCAGATAAAGGCTGCCATAGAGCGACTTGCGTTGGTAGTGGAGCATCTGAACATGGTAGGAGTTCGAAATTGCGTTGATGGTCACTAGCGACGTGATCCGACTCCATATGATAAATTCAACAGCGACGACAATAACTATGAAGCCCCACGCCACGGTGATGATCACAGAGACCGTCAACAAAGGGATAGTTGTGATGCTGGAGGGTTCAAGATGAAGATAGATCTGCCATCTTTTAACAGGCAACTTTATATCGAAGAATTTCTTGATTAGGTTGCAGAAGTGGAGAGATTCTTTAAGTATATGGAGATCCCAGATAAGCGTAAGGTAAAATTAGTGGCCTACTGACTTGAAGATGGAGCATCAGCTTGGTGGGAATCAGTTTGCATGAATCGATCTCGTCAAGGAAAGCTGAAAGTCAATAGGTTGAAAAAGATGAAGAAACTACTAAAAGTCCGTTTCTTGTCAGGTGATTATGAACAAGTCTTATTCAGATAATACCAAAAGTGCAAACAATGTGGAAGAACAGTTGATGAGTACAAGCAGGAGTTTTTTCGGTTGTCATCCAGCAATAATTTAAATGAGAACGAGGCCCAACAGATGTCTCGATATACTAGGGGATTGAGGATAGCAATTCAGGATCATGTATCTTTGTAGCAGACATATACCTTGGCAGACACAGCCTAGCCGAAAAGGTGGAGCGATAACTTGGACTGAATAATAGAGGATCGTGGGTAGCTTCCGACGGGTCACGCATGAGCTTTAATCGTGGTGGGAATGAACAGTCTCAAACTACTTCTAATTAAGATGTTACATCTGAGAAAGGTACAAGCCCAACGATAATAACAGCAAAGAAGGCTACACCACAAAACCCGTATGCCAAACCCGATCCAATCAAGTGCTACAGATGTGGTCAACCTAGTTATCGATCCAATCAGTGCCCTAAAAGAAGTGTTGTGAATATAGTCGATCATGAAGATGAGGATATAGACCAAGATGATGCTGAAGACTATGGAGGTGATTGGGTGGATCCTGATTATGGGGATCAACTCTCGTGCGTTGTGCGACGACCTATTATTGGCTCTAAAGACAGAAGAACCATCACAACGGTATAATATCTTCCACATGAGATGCACTGTGAAATAAAAGACTTGTGATGTTATCATTGATAGTGGTAGCAGTGAGAATATTGTCTCTCGGCATATGGTGGAAAAACTAAGTTTGAAGACAGAGAAACATCTCGCTCCCTACAAGATCGGTTGGATTCGTAAGGGTAATGACGTGCAGGTTGATGATGTGTGTCGGGTATCTTTTTCCATTGGCCGAAATTATATTGATGAGGCATTGTGTAATGTAGTTGAGATGAATGCTTGTCATATGTTGTTAGGCAAACCATGACAGTTTGATGTTGATGTCACGCACAGGGGGAAGGATAATGTTTATATCTTTAAGAAGGATGGTCGCCGAATTGTACTTATGCCTCTTACAGAAAAAAGTCATCTAAGATAAAGACTACTGAGAAGAAGAGACTCTTGGTGACAAACAACAAGGCTTTAGGAGAAAACTTGAAGCAATCTGAAGAGGTCTATGACTTGGTTGTAACTGAAAAGAAGAACCTGCCCCTACCGAAATTTCTCCTAAGGTGCAAGCACTCATTATGCATGAGATTCATGATGCTGATAGGGATATAATAGTGAAGATAGATATTATGCATGATATTTTCAGAGAGGTTATGAGCGATATTGCACATATTAACGATGTCCTGATGGAGAAGAATGATAAAATAGAGAGTGAGACAATTGATGGTTTGTGTGAATTGCTTGGTGGAGGGCTCGAGGTAAAGAAGATGAAAGAATTATGTATGGAGTATGAGGGAAAAAATTCTTTTTTGAAAGCAATGATCATCAATAAATTCAGCGATGAGATGATACCGTCGTCACTAGAATATGGGAAGCAACAGGGAAAATATTAGAAAGAGTTTTTCATGTCAACTACAGATCCACATGCTGCCAATTACATACACATATCATGTGAAAGATTTATACACAAGTTTGATACAAAAGAAGTCCTAGAAGAGGAGGTAAAAGAACAAATGGAGAAAATCAACGCTAAATATAAGGCAGATGTTGATCGTTGTAAGAAAAAAAATATTTAATATTAAAGCTACTATTCTAACAAATATAAGCTTGGGGTCGAGCTTCTTTCAATAAGGGGAGACTGATGTATGATGCTTAACAGACAATTTCACGGAGGATTCGCACAATCACGAGCTAAATACTGATTTATACGTATTATTGACTTCTGCAAAAAAAATAATTATATCTTCTAACCCAGAAAGTAGATTCTGACATATTATATAAATAAATCACCTATCTCGACGAGATGGAGCCAACTAGATTGTCAGATTTTTAAAATCTCATCAGTAATACCCAGTTATGACTGAAATCCAAAAATAATCAGATTTTAGTTTATTTTTAGTAATAAAGTTGGAGCCTTAGATTAGGAAATAAATTCAATATTAGAGTCAAATTAAATTAGGAAATAAATTCAATTTTAATTCATGATTTGTTTCCTCAATTATAAGAAGTTTTTTAGAATAGAATTTCATACTTTCTATTTCTTGTAATTCTAGTATTACCAGGAGCCTTATTTATTTTTCTATTTAAGAAGAGTCATGTAACCCCAAAGAATAATTTCTTTTCATCAATAAAAATTCTCTCTCAATATTTTCTTCGTGGATTCGAAGTTCTTCTTGTATTCGGAGATCGTTCTTTGTGGATTCAAAGAACACCCTTGGTGGTTCCGAGGTTTTTACTTCCGCGTTGCGTTAGTTATTTTTTATTTACCCAACATTTTGATCTATAAAGCATTGCCGGTCTTTTAACTATCCTATAGAATTTTCCCTCTTGTCTCATAGGTTTCTAGGGTCACATAAGACTTCTAAGACACTCCTCCATTTTAACTATCTCAATTTGATTCGATGGACATCATCATCCTCAATCTCACGATCATGACGAATAATTGATCCTAAATAACAAAAGTGATCTAAGTAGAACTGAATATAAGAATAAAATTCATGTAATTGACCACAAATATTTGGAATAAATGCTTTGTTGTTGTTGTTGTTATATCAACATTTATCATCACTTGTCTCAACGTTGTAGTGTCTGGTTTTAGGAGCAGATCCAAAAGAATTTTCTTTTTTGTGTGTGTGTGCGTGTGTGTTTTTTTTTTTTTTTGGTTGGCTACTAATTTGTAAATGTTAAATGCCAATTGTTTGAAAATTCAATATGGGGTGCAAAAATTTTAAAACAATGGGGGGCGGCAAATTGTACTTGTAGAGGGCTTTAAAATGCAAATTTTAGATTGTTAGGTGTGCAACTGCACCTGTACCAACCACATGGATCCGCTCCTGCTTGGTTTATGCAGTATAAGAAGGCTTCATGGATAACATGCACAATGTAGCCAAAATTTTCAAAACTCATCCCAACTTTTTGGCTTGGATTTTTTATATATATTCTGCAGGAGACTTACCTTATGTCTAAGACATTCTCGGGAAAAATATGGTACTTTTGCCGGATTGTAAAGCATTATGGGCATCACTGGAGAATCATTGTCCCCAAGAACCTCAAAACCCATCCTTTTAAGTTCTGATCTGAAGAAATTGCTGTTCTCACGAATTTTTGCAAGCTTCATAGCCCCTATTCAAATAAAAAATTAACAACTATGAATATTTCAATACAAACGTAAACGGAAAAAAAAAAAGAATAAGGTGAGAAAGAAAATCCCGGTCTACCTCTATTGGACCCATCTTCACCAAGAATAACCTTAAGTGCACATATTGCTTGTTCTACCGCAGGTGGTGACATGGAAGTTGCATAAAGATGTGCAGGGCAAGCGTGCTTCAGGTACCGAACTATTTCCTGGTAAAGGGTACAAAGGAAGTTCAGTAGTGAAAAATTGTGATCCATCCTCTAAAATCTCACTATATAACTATTAAAAGGTTAAAGAGTAATTGCTGATAGACCCCAGGTATTATCGCCCAATTGTAGATAGACCCCTTGTAGTTCTATTATTGCACATAGAACGCTCAGCAAAATAATTTGACTCTTTTAACCAGAAAGAAAGAGAAATATTTTTTGAGAAACAGACATCCTGAGGGAAAAAGATAAGAAAATTCTTTTAGGGGTCTATCTGCAATAGCAGAACTACAGGTTTATCAGCAATTGGCCGATAGTACAGGGTCGATATGCAATTAGGTGATAGTATAGGGGCCTATCAGCGATTAACCCAAGGTTAAAAGTAAACAGACCTTTGATGCTGCGATGTAGCCTCCACAAGATCCAAATGATTTTGAAAATGTTCCCATCATTATATCTATATCAGCAGGGTCTACTCCGAGGAGCTCACAAACACCTCTGCCTGTTTTTCCAACTGCACCCATGCTATGTGCCTCATCAATGTAAGTATATGCCTGTAACGAAGAAGGCACAAGATAAGTCTGTTTCCATTAGCCACTAGTTGATGCTCTCTATGAAGTTTCATCCACAAATTTTTATACATATGTATATAAAGGTTAATTGGACATAGATCCCCCGAGTATCTTTGTTTGGAATTGCTAGCCCTGTAGTTTCATTATTGCAGACAGTCCCTGTGGGTTAATTTTTTTTTTGACTCATTTACCCTTTATGAAATTTTAACAAAATATTGCCTCCGCTGAAACTACAATGAAACTGCAAGGGGTGTAAGTTCACAAGAACAGTACTACAGGGCGTCTATGCGCAGTTAGCCCTATATATAAAAGCAAACCTTATATTTCTTGCAAATAGCTATGATCTCTGGAAGTCTGCAGAACTCCCCTTCCATACTGTAGATTCCCTCAACAATAACTAGTATTTTCTTCCAGGGTTTATGTGTTTGAGGTTGTCCAGCAGCAACCTGCTCTCTTAGTACCACCTCCAAGTGAGCCGGATCTACATGTCAAAATCCAATGTGTTAGACTATAAAACTACAACGCTCAACCTCCATCACAACTTCAGAGTTTTGGTTGAAGTAACAGGGACTCTAAAATTATATAAGAGTAACCCAGTTTCCATTCCTATCAACCACAAATCTAAAGAATTTTTTAAAAAAAATTGTTATCATTGAGTGTGACCAGCTTACGGCCCATAAAAAGGACGCGCAACTTGTGGAGAGGAATGTTAAAGCATAAAGCTATCACTCATCTCAAATTTGAAGTTTGGGTGCATTAAGACAAAACAAAAAGCATATATTTTTTGCTCAAATGGTATAAACTTAATCCTACACCAAATTAAGGTTCAAAACTTACTGTTGCTTTGGAAGACATGTACTGTTGCCCCTGATTCTCGTGCGCCATTGACAATTGAATTATGGTTCAAAGAATCACTAATTATCAATCCTCCCTGTCCACGGAACAACAACAATAAAAACAAACACTTTATCGCAAATTTGTGGGCTGGCTGCATGAATCGTATCTTGCTATTTAGTTATCTAAAGAGCTATCTTCTCCATTAAGTTAGTTATTCATAGTAGTTAGAAAAAACTCCAAGTTTGAAGTTCATACTGTTCAGTACAAACCTTTTCAATGAGCACAGGGATGACGGCAGAGTTTGTAACATAACCTGTACCAAATATAATGGCAGCTGGCTTTCCTACAAATCGAGCAACCAACTCCTCCAACTCTGAGTGTATTTTTGTAGTTCCTGATGCAAAAGAAAAAAATTGATTTATCTTTCATTCCAAATCATCAGCTTTTTCCTATAATATTCATGAGGCTAATTAGTAAATACCTTATAGTTTACCCTATTTTGCACTTTATACCCTCACTTATTTTTGGTACTATTTAAACACCCTAAAGTTTTTAAAATTCATATGTTATCACCTTCTGTATGCAAAAGTGAGAATATCTCTGCTTCCCTTTGGATCTCCCATGCTAATTATAAAACTTCTTACACCTGTCCCCATTCTATCTAAGATATTTGAGGTAGGTTTAAAGTAGAATTCAGGAAGTTTTAACAGTAAATTCAACAACATCAAGCGCCAAAAAGCTCTAAAATTAGCATGTGAGTTACATATGGGAATATTTGGGAGAATATTCTCAGGTTTTCATCAGAAAAAGTAAAGTTCCAATTTTAAAAACTCTAGGTATGTAAGTGCTGCAAAAAACATGCGAGTGAATATAACTGCGAAGTAGGACAAACTATAACGTATTCAAGTGCTAACTAGCCTATTCATGAGGAAAAAAAAATTCGTACCACCATCTACACGAACACTGCAGGTGCTGACAGAGTATTTCTTCAAGGATTCAATGACATGGGGTGTGCAATATTCATCTGTTGAAGCAAAACCAAGGTAGTTGTATGATCCCAGGTTGATGCATCTAGTAGAATTTGAGGTCCGGCTGCATTAATAAAAAAACAACTTTCATTCTTGCTTTCCAAATATGAGGTAAAACAAACAATAACATTTCAAGCATCTAAAAATAATCCTTGATGCCAAATGGAAGCATTAAGTTTTTCTTGTCCTATGTCCTTTCCTTGAATCATTCGTGAAACTGTATGTTCTAGCCCTTACTGACCATTAATCTTGGAAGACTAGAAAAATTGCATACATGATCTAATTAGTATTAAAGGTGATACATTTTCTTAGAAGCGCAAGCTATTACTAGGTAGGATGAGCTCAAGAAATATTTGGAGGTACTTCATATTAGCACTTACTGCAGTGTCTTGTTATTGTCATTGCTATAACGTTCAACCACATCTATCCAAGAATCTGGTGCGCTTGAAATTGGTCTGTTAGCACAATCCTGCAGAAAGAGAATTTTGCATCAGAATAGTGAAGAAATTACATGTTTACACCCTAAATACTATCAGAAGGACTTGTACACAGATATGATTGACAATTAGCTTCTTCATTCTTCACGACGTGCTCACATTAGTCCACTCAAAAACAAAACAAACATTCTTATCTTTTACAAATAACAAACCATTTATTTTCCTTTTTCTTACTCATAGAGACAATGTTGATCGTTGAAGCTACTACATATGAAACCATAAATTTCATAAGTTCTCGATAAGTTAACCTTTGGAACATCTTTTTGTATGACTTCCTATGTTACCCGGGTACTTCTATCATGAAGCCGTACCGCTACCGGACACGTACCTGACACATACCCATTGTCAAACTTCATGAACACTCCTTGGATATATGCATACGTTTATTCAGACTCGTAGTCGATTATATGATATATGTTCTAATTTAAAACAATTGTCATACACTTATGGTAGTGCATCTGTATGTATTAGGCAAGACATATACCCTCCTCATTTTTTACCTAATATGAGGCTTCTATATGAAGTCCCCTAGCATCGATAAATGTACTCATGTATGTTAGGTCTCATGTTTATGAGCCTATTGTCTAATCTGGTTTTGATAATTAACAAACAATTCCTAACACCGCCTCCTAGTATTTGTGTTTGCTTGCTAGGTATCCTAGACAAGCATCCTCAAGTTGGAGGTTGGATGGACTTGAGCGTTCACGATGATATTCATGGAGGTTGGAGGAAATCAGAATGAAGCCATTTGCACATTCAAGTCAAAGATTCTCTACTGCGCTTCATCCCTGCTACCAAGATCGAGCTTCACGAATATTTCTAAGCTAGCTTGGTATAGTGTTCGTAGTTTAGGTTGTTTACTTTATGTGTTATACTTAAAGCTCAAACTATACACATACAAATCATTTTAATTTATCGTGTTCATTGTTTGTTTCGCTTTGCTAGAGGGTTTTTTAAATATCTTTGTACATACGTTTATCCATAAAAATATAACTATTAGTTTAAAAAATAGTTTTATTTTAAAAATACGATAAATATGAAACTAGTTTTAACGATTAACACAATTGTTTCATCGCATTATACATCTATTTTGGAAGACAACGTGTTTGAAATGATTTCATCAGAATCATGTGTTTAACGATTTTGTATTTTTGTTGATTCTGTAAATCGATGAAATCATATTTAAAGTTTTCGTATTTTTGACCGTTTTGCAAAAATAATGAGTTTTCACAAATGGGAAATGATATTTTAGAAATTTCTTTTGTAACATGTTCATGTTCATATATATAAACATTTTTCAAAGTTTTACTATTTTTGAAGTTGTTTTACTATTTTAAAATGAATTTGGAAAATTAGTTTTTTCAGCATTTAAGTATTTGAAATGTCAGTTTATCAGTCGATTGACCATAATTATCAGTCGGCTAACCATAATTATCAGTCAACCGATCGTCTAGCAGTCGACCGATGGTGATAATCAGTCACACTATAAAATAGCAGTTGTTCTGGATAGTCGACTGATTCGTTGATCGGTCGACCGATCAACGGTTATTTCTCCAATAACGACTAGTTTTTAGCTCAGTCGATTTGTTTTGGTTGAGAGGCTATAAATAGCCCTCAAAAACTTATTTGTTGGACCATGGAAATATGGAACATAGTTTTGCAAGTTTGTTTAACGGTTTTTGAGAGAAGAAAAAGTGTGTTTGTTTATGTGAAAAGAGTTTCACAAAGAGAAGGATCTCAATTTCGTTTTTGAGGCGTTCATCCTCAAATCTCTATATCTCTTTGTTTTGGAGAAGTTTTCTAAACTCTTTCTCTAGCTAATTAATATTTTGATTCTCATATATTTATACTAGATTGATTTGAGTTTGATTTTGTTTTACTCATTGTTTACACACACAACCACTTGAGCTTAAATATTTCACATTTAGTATAATTAATCGGGTTTTGGGAGTAATTCATTGAGTGAGCTTACATTTCGTTCTCACATGTTTAGAGAACAAAATCTTCATTCGCACTTACTGTTGAAACACATTGTAATACACAAGGATACTTAGAGTAGTAATTAGGAGAGACCGGGATCAATTCTAAGACGAGTTGGTTGGTTGTAAATCCTAGGGAGATGTTGTAATTCCAAACACTTGAGGAAGGTGACACGGGTAGTCCAACACTTAGAGAAGTGTAGCTTGTGGGATTGACATCGTGTGAGCTGTAAAAGTTATTAGTGAACTTTGAAAACAGTTGTGTGTAATTTTTTGAGTAATAGTGGAGATCTCCTCGAGGTGAGGAGCGGAGACGTAGGTCGAGGCTTGAGCGAACTCCGTGATCATAATTTTGTGTTTGCGTTTGGCATTTGGCGTACTATTCTCTTTACATATTGTGCATATTTTTGTATCGCCTATTGTCTCTTGTTTATCCTTGCATAATCATATTGCTAGGCTATTGCGTTATAAGTTTTAATTTGACATCAAAATCAGATTACATTAGCAATTATCCTATTCACCCCCTATAGGGTACTTTCAATGTATTCATGAGGAATCAACAAAAAGTGTCTTCTTCTCAATTTGACAATATACAACAATACGCATCAACTAGATGTACTAATATATGTCTTAGAAAGTTAAGCTTGAGGGGAAATGAACATTTAATGCTAAAAACATTGACTTCCAAGTTAACAATTAATATTCAGTTGACAAGAGAATTGAAACAATGAATCCTAAAATAGTAAGGTCGACTCCTACCAAGTAATCAAAATCAAAATCAAACTTTTTTACGAAATCGGACCTGAGCACGATGATAAACCCTTCGAGTGTAGAAATCCTCCATCCCTGAACATATTGGCGCATATCCCTGTTTCAAAATGAAACCCAAAACGTTTAGAATCAAATCCAACACAAAATTTCTATACAAATTCGGCAACACCCAAGAGAACCATTTCGAATTTCTTATAAAAAAGTAAAATCCGATAAGAAATAAACAATCTTTTTCATCACAAATTTTTTTTAAAAAAATAGTCTCAAGTAAAAAGGTTCTCAACTAGGGGAAGGGGAGTATGTATATAGGCAAATGGTTCATTTGAATGGTTTTTTTCTCTCAAGGACATTTTAGCTATTTGACGATTAAGGACAAGGGGTACGAGGAGAAATATTTACACTTCGAGAGTTCTGTCAGGCATCCCAAAGTTATCATGAGGTATTATACGAACAAAAGTCAGTAAGTTGCGAAACCTCCCAAAACTCAAAGAGGGTTTTTGTGAAACAAACTCCATAATTAAGGATAGATCCAGAAATTTTTTAGTGCGGGGGCATATTTTGCATAATACATATTTATAATTTAAGGGTGTTTTTGCTGGTTTTTTATCTTAGTCCCTTAAATCTTTCATAGTTTGAACTTAGTCCCTCAAATCATTAAAATCACTATTAGGTCCTTCTATTATTAAGTTTTCGTTGAAATTATCCCTTCAATAAAGAGTATAATTAACATTTCGAGAGTTAATTTGAATTAACTTATAATAATGTGGTAACCTTTTAGCAATTTCAATGATTTAAGGGACTAATTTCCCTATAATTGACACTTCCACACTTGATTTGAGGGACTAATTTCAAAATAACTTAAGAATTGGATAACTTAGTAGCAATTTTAATGACTGGACTTAGTAGCAATTTTAATAATTGGAGGGACTAAATTTTAAATAACCTATGAATTGGGGTACCTTAAAGCAATATCAATTATTTGAGTGACTAATTTCATAATATAAAAGACGTACGGGGCTAATATCTAAAAACTCCTTTTTCCTATAGGATAATTGTTCAAAATGGCCCCATTTCCAAATTTAATCCCAAAAATCGACCCAATCCACGGTTATTTAGTGAAACCGACCCAGTTTCTGGCCACGTCAGCATCGTGGTCAGAAACAGAGTCGTTTAATAAAAAAATCAAACTTCTAATAAGTCGGGGTTGCCTAATTAGACAGGGTTGGCAACCCCCGACTAATTAGAAGCTCTTCCACTACGAGCGGCATTAGTAAAGCTAAACCCCGACCAATGTGATCGGGGTTGCCAACCTTGACCAAAATGGTCGTGGTTGCCAACCCCGTTCATTTGGCGACCATGAAGAGATAACAGATTATTTCCTTTCTCTTATACTTTTACTTAATAATTCAATGCTTTCTCAAGCAGGAGCTCCATGAAGAGCTTGGCATCAACCTTCCAAAAGATGCATTTCCTTCAAGAATGGTGAGCAACTTTTTTTTTCTACCGTCACTTCCAAGTTTAATTTTATCTGAAATTCCGAATAAATTATGCACAAGTATTTATCATATTGATCTGTAAACTTATTTTAATCATGCTTGGAAGTTAGCTCAAGATTCATGTCATTCGATCTTTCACAATAATATGTACATTTTCAATAATATGTGCATTTGCTAATCCTAATAATATGAAGAGCTTTGCTAATCCAAGCTCTTCATGGAGCTCCCAAATGAACGGGGTTGGTTGGCAACCCCGATCACTTTGGTCGGGTTTAGGTTTGCTAAACCGACTCGTATTGGAAGAGCTTCTAATTAGTCGGGGTTGCTAACCCCGACTAATTAGAAGTTCTGATTGCTTTGGTCTCTACAAATTTATTCTTTAATTATTGCGACTAATTAGAAGTTCTGATTGCTTTAGGTTTGTTATTTTTTATTATGATGTAG